GAGAGAGAGAGAGAGAGAGAGAGAACCATTAATGTGAGAGAGAAGCATCGATCAGTTGTCTCCTGCAGGCATCCTACTGGGGATCAAACCTGCAAGCTGGGTATGTGCCCTGGCCAGGAATCCAACCAGTGAGCTTTTGGTGCATGGGACAACTCTCAGCCAACTGAGCCACACTGGCCGAGGCCCAATTCTCCTATATTTACATTAGATCTGATACTTTGTCATTTGCATATTCCTAACTGATTCTTTCTTTAGCATTTTTGGCTGGTACTATGATGAATCTTGACTCTAAACTGGAAGTCAAACTTCTAGCTAGGAAGTAGCCGTATCTCAAGGTTGTGAAAATCGGAATTTTAAAATTACCTATCAGAAACTTCCTAGGAATTAAAAAACCAAAAAGCCTTGAGTACTCATCTGATTACTGGCCTGTGTCTAGTAAGAGCTTTAGACAGTTATAAAAAAAAGGCTTTATTTTTCTATGATGTGTAATTAATTCAGAAATTACTGCAACTACTAAATATCAAAAGAGTATCTTTCAGTGACAGTGTTAAATAATAGGATTATTCTTCTCATCTCTAAGTATGTACCATTGAATTGGTAAATTCATGTGATGTAAACCTATATATTTTTCTCTGTTAGGCCTTAGATTTCAGTGATGATGAAAAGGAAAAAGAAGCCAAACACAGAAAAAAAAATCGCATTCAAGGCCGGAAAAAATTTAAATCTCAATTTAATGAGTCAGGTGAGCAAATACAGAATATAGCAATTTTTAAAAAATCTTTACTTACATTTATATGTCCATTAGTAATAAAACTGAAGAAAATATCTGGGTCTTATTTTTTATCTCCTGCTATGCAACTAACATTGAAGACATTTTAAAGCAAGAAATGTTCAGTTGCAGTTTTTCAAACTTGAGGGTGTAAAAATGACTCCTGGGGGGAAAAGACATACTAAGCTTTGTTAGAGTTATTTGTGCTCATTAGCACTTTCTTAAAAAACCTAGTGGCTTCCATATTTAGAATTAAATGATATGATACCTAATATCTTACTCAAGCTACTTTATTTTTAACATTCATTTCATTTTATTATACCTTTTCTATTTTCTATTTCCTTTTAAAACTAAACTTTTTATAGATTGACATAGAATTGTAAGAAATAATAAAGAGATCTTATATGCCCATTACCCCATTTCCTGCAATAGTAATAACTTGCAAAACTATACAGTAAAATATCACAACCAAGATATTGACAATGATACTGTCAAGATGCAGAACATTTCCAAAACAGAAAAAGATCCCTCATGTTGCCTTTTTATAAAGTCACTCACACTTTCCTCCCTCCCACCTCCTCCTCAGCTCCTGGCAACCAGTAATCTGTTCTCTATTTCTATAATATAATTTGTCATGTCAAGAATGCTTATATAAATGAAGTCACACGGGCCGCATGCCTCATTTAAATAAACGAGTTTGACATGCTTGATCTAGATTGTTGTATGTGTCAAGTTTGTTTCTTTTAATTCCAGAGTGGAAAGTGAAT